TCAGAATCTCATTCTGACAGCAATTTCTTAGTTTATCCGAGCTTAGCTTAAGGTCAGCTCGTAAACATGAACCAATAGCTCAGTTTTTATTTTTTCTGTTACGTTTCTAATTCTCAGTAAATTCTTCCCTCTCAGAAAGGACATGAGAAAAATCTAATTTGTAGTGTAGGCTTTTGCCCTCCTGTCCTAATCCTTGCTCCGTCTTCCCCTTTACATCTACATGAAGCCACTGGGTGAGCTCATCTGTCCCAATTGTACATCCCCATCCCGGGTGAACTAGGTGATGCTGGGGGTGTTTTTTCACAGTGCCTGGAGGCTGTGGGTGTCTGGGTGGAGAAAAGAAAGGCTTCAGCTGGGCCATGGGAAGACAGAGTGGTTGTGGGTGAGAGGCTCTTCTGTACCTGGCACGTAATCTGCAGATCCCCCTGGACTTGCGACTCCTACTTAAAGAGCAGGTGGCAGTCGGGGCTAGGAGGGCCTTGGCTCAATTTTGTGTTGTACATCAGTTGTGATCTTTCCTAGATGGAGCAGCTCTTCTCTCATGCCCTACTCATCTCCTGTAGGAACTACTGCAATGCACTCTCCATGCGGCTGCCCTTAAAGAGTATCTGGAAGCTGCAACTGATACAGAATGCGGTAGTACAGACGATTCTGGGCATCCCTAGGATTGTGCAGAGGATTGTGCAACACCTCTGTTGCATGAGCTGCATTGGGTACCAGATTGCTTCCAGGTCCAATTCAAGGTGTAGGTTATCACCCTTAGTGGCATGCGACCAGGATACCTGAGGAACCATCTTGCCCAACTACACTGACTGGTCCCCCTGATCAAGCACAAAAGGCACATTATGGACTCATCAGTTAAAAATTTCCAGCTGGCGGGGTCTAGAAAGACAGCCTTTTCCACTGCTGCAGAACATCCTGCCCCTGAGGTAAGATTCTGCTACTCTGCTAGCCTTCCAGAAGAATGTTAAAACAGGGCTCTGACCACTGGCACAGAGTGGATGGCAACACTGGGATGGATGCTGGCTGGAGGTCACTCCCCCGCTTTTAACTCTGACTTTTGTACAGATTTTTAAGGGGGGGCGGGGGGGTTGGCTTGTAAACCACTCATAGACTGTGAACTGGATAGTGTATAGATTTCATTAATAAATAAATAATAATTGTGGACCGAAATCAAAGGGCCCAGAATTTTGCAAAACTATGGTTCAGTTTGAAGACCAAAAGAGCCCAGCCAAACTAATGTAGACAAATGTAGACATTCCAACCACCTTGCCCAGCCTTCCTAAGGGCAAACATAGCACTTCCCAAATATACCACAAGACAACATTCTTTGACTGATAGGACCTGCAGCATGCTGGATTGAGTAGTATGGCTAGAAACCACCAAGGAGAAATGGTCCTGGAAATCACCTGGTCCTGAGCATGAAGAACTTTAGAGGTAACAACCAACACCATGAACTGCACCAGAAGCAGAGTGAAGGTCAACACAGCTTGCCAAGCCGAGGTGTGACATGGGAACATAAAAGTGCATTTATGACTGCCTAGGCCACTGTATTCTGGATCAACTCAATGGCTTTCAAGAGCAGCCCTACATAGAGTACACTGCAGTAACTCAGAGAGAAGGTGACCAAGGCATGAATTATGAACAATGCAGGACAGGGTGCAATTGGTAACAAGACAAATCTGTGCAAAAGCTCTTCTGCTATGGTTGCCACTTGATGAAATGAGGCAGATGTTCAAATTGAGAAGCAGTTCTGTTCAGGTTTAGTGCAATCCATCGGTTGTCACCAAGTGGCTTGCATGCCATAACCATAGTAGAGAAATACTGATGGAGATGGAAAACTCTTGGCTGGATGCAATGCCAGAGCCTACAGTAGTGTTATGGTTGTGCTCACACCTACTCTGTGCCATTCAGATATCAAGACAGAACCTTTATGGCACCATTCTGTCAGACAGGGCACACAGGTGACATCTTATCCCCCAGTTTCATATGGATATTAAAACAGGCATGGGAAGGACACCAAGCACTGAGGCACCTCCAAAAAAGAGGCTGTGATTTATTTCTCCCCACCCCATCAATACCAACTAGAACTGATCCCAGAAGAAAGAGGAGAACCTATGTACACTATTCCCTCCACAAGTCCTCAAGTCAGTCCAGATATCATGATCAGTGGTTTCAAAGGCCAACGAGAAGTCAAGGAGAGGATGTCCATCCTCATCCTGCTCCCATAAGTATGAAAAATGTTGTTTGTAATCCTATATGAAGGCCAATGAACAGACTGATGATTCATTTTCTCAGAGTTCTCTGAAGTTATAGCATGACTACTTTCTCAACAATTTTCTGTAGAAAGGAAGTTGGAGACAAGACAAAAGTTGCCTAACAAGGTTGGGACCTGAAATGACTTGCTGATGGCAGGACTACTCTCCTTTTTCTCAAATAAGGGAAGGGCCCAATCTCATGTCTCCCCCAAGAAAACTTTGGCTACTCAGGTAGGACATGAAATAAACATTCAGGTGGCTGAGCTGACAGTTTTGAGAACTTGTCCACTTCCTCAGTACTAACAAACTCCTCCCAAGTAACCACGGCAGAGAGTGCTTCAGTTAGATGGGATCCCCCTCATAGCTCCAACTTAGAGCAGACTTGAATAACTTAATCCAACAAATGCCTAGCTAGCATATGCTTCAAAGCAGGACTGTAAGCAGACTTCTTCTACCTTTAATTTTACCTTAACTGGCCTGTGGTGCAGCCAGAACAATTTTGAACTGAACACACTCAAAACTGTACAAATAGTAAATTTTAAGAGAAGCCCTCCTATTTTATCACCTCTTACAATATTAAACAACACAGTTTTCACCAGTAAAGACCTTCCCAGTTTCTGGGTTCGATAATCTCTCAGGACTTGAAATTGATACCTAACATCAAAAATGTCCTCAAAAAAAAACAAAAAAAAACCCCCACAACAAAGAATGTTCTTCCTGCACCATCTCAGAAAGCTCAGGCTTCCAAAGGAACTGTTGATATAGTTCTACAGAGGAATTATTGAGTCTGTCATTTGCACCTCTTTAACTGTCTGGTTTGGCACACAACTAAAGATACAGTATCAAGACTGGTTCACACTTTCACCTATATTTCTTTTTCACTCAATGGAGCTGCCTGAGAGTGCTGGGAATACCGTAATCTGGACTGTGTTTAACCGGTTCTTGAAACAAGCACACTTTGTGGCATGCCCAAGAATTCCTTCAGTCCAGATCCTAGCCAAGATGCCCTCCAGAGAGAATTTAGAGTGGGGGATAAAGGTGTATTTGTCCACAAAAATTCTGAACCAGAGGCAACCTTGTAAAAAAAATTAGGTCCCAAATATATAGGGTCCTTTCAATCAATCGGATTGTAAATGCAATAACAGTGGAATTGAGATTACCGGGAAGCCTTAGACGGATCCATCCAGTATTTAATTGCAGTCTTTTAAAACCCTTTTGAGACTCAGGACTGAGGCCTGTCAGGGAAGTACCTCCTCCTCCTATGCTAGTTAGGGGAGAAGAACATTATGTGAAAAGGATACTTGATTCCAGAAACCACAAGGGAAAACTATAATATCTAGTGTTGTGGAAAGGCTCCCCGTTAGTGGATGCTGAGTGGGTAGCTGCTCTAGATGTTAGGCCAGCAAAGTTTCACCCTAAATATCCTCAGCAGCCCCAATAGGGATTGCAATGGTAGGTGCTTGTTAAGTAATTTATTATTGTATCAGGTCTACCCTTCTTCTGAGGACGGGGTCAGCATGTCAAAACTGACCCACACTTTCACCTACATTTCTTCTTCTCTTGCAGCTTGCAAAAACAGGGAGGGGATGGTTGGAATGCAAGTGAGTATTCCAGCTCTGTCAGCACCAGAGGACATTGCTGTCATCCCAAGGACACGCCGAGCAGATGCCCTGGCGTTGTAGACTGCTTCCCATAACAAAATGAACATTTGTGATTGGTGAACGTTTTGGACCATGGTAACCCATAAGGAAAAGGGGGGATTAACTACAGGTCCAAACTGTCATGGAGGCCACCTCAGACATCACTCCATTCGCATTGGGGTACTCCATCACCGACCCAGTCACGTGGTCCAGGATCTCAGGCTGGGAGCAGATCTAGCTCCCCATCCCAGAGCCCCTCCAGTTATCTGCGGGCAACGCCTCAGCCACCCCGGACTCTCCTAGGGTGGGAGGGAGCACATCTCAAATCCCTCTCACGCTCCCACCTCGACCCTCGGGGATGGGGTCCGCCTTGACTGGCAAAGAGCCACAAGTCAACCTTCTTCATCCCTGCCGGCTTCTCTGCCCGGCTTCCAGAGCCCTCGGAGCCCGAGCACAGCGGGATGCCGGGAGCCGAAGCTTGGCCAGCCCGCCCGCCCGCCTCTGGCCCGGCCCGGCAGCGCCCACCTTGCCCAGGGCGATGGAGCAGGCGGCCAGGCCGATGAGCCCCCCTTTGCGGCTGTGGGGGTGCTGCGAGAGCGCGAACTCCACCGAAAGCGTCTGGATCACGTGCTTGATCTGCGCCGCGCTGTTCTGCGCCACGAACTCGCGCACCAGCCTGCAAGAGGAGAGAGCCGAGTCTGGGCCTGCCTCGCCGCCCACCGGGCCCCAGCCCGCCCGACCCCAGCCCGCCTGTCTCACTTCTCGATCTCCAGCGCCGCCACCTTCCGCTTCTCGTACAGCTTGTCGTTCAGGGCGCGTACGATGCTGGGCGTCAGCGGCGAGAAGTCCTTCTCCGGGTTCATCGCGGCCGTGCGAAAGGCTAGCGGCGGCACCGGCTTCGGCTACCGGGCGGCGGCCATGTTGGCTGTCACATGACGCCGCGCCTGCTGCTTCCGGGTCAGCTGCGCGCCTCCCTCCCCGCGTGACGTCATCCCAACCCAGCGCCCCCTGCGTGGAGGCCGAAGGACCGGAACCCACGACTCCCTCCAAGGCCCCGCGACCCGGAAGTCCTCCCGTCCCAAATGAGGCAGCGGATGCGCTTTCCTTTCTGAGAACAACTTTATTTCGCGCGCTATTTCTCCGGCGGGACCCCTCTCAGGTAGTAGACCCAGCTGACGGGCGAGCCCAGCCCGGCGGCACGCGGGCACGAGACCACCAGCTTGCCGGTGACCGGCGCCTTGTTCCCGCCGCCGGCGCCCTCGAAGGCCACGGAGATGGTGGTCGTCTTCTTGGGGCGGATGGTCTCGGCGGCGCGCACCGAGAAGGCGGCGCTGTCCACGGCGTAGCTGAAGGCCGTGGGCTGCAGGAAGACGTTCTTGAAGGGCAGCACCGCGCTGGCGCCCAGCCGGATATGCACCGGGCCCTGCGGCCGGGGGGGCAGCGCCGTTCCCCGCAGCGGGATCAGGTAGTCGCCGCCCGCCGCCGAGGAGAGCAGGAGGGTCCCGCGGGCCTCGCCCAGCTGGCAGGGCTCGAAGGTCACTTCCACGCCCACCTCCGTGCCCGTCTGGGCGCCCGCGGGCGCGCTGATGACCTTCTCGGCCTGGAAGTCCGGGCTGTCGATCTGCGGGGAGGGGAGAGGAGAGGCGCGTCGGCCTCGCTCCGGACCCGCCGCCACCACCACCACCCCGATGCACCCAGCAGGCGGGCACCGCACCTCCCTGCCAGCTCACCTTGGTGGAATACTCTGTCTTCTGGCGGGTGTAGTTGACGATCTTGGCCACCAAGCTCTGGCTGCTGCCCAGCATGGTGGAGAAGCAGAGGGGCTTCTCTAGGCGGGCCGGTGTGGCCTTCAGGATCAGGTCGTACTGGAAAGAGCCCAGGTCGCTGCTGTTGAGGGCCAGCCGCCCGCTGGTCTCCCCGGGCCTCATTGGCAGGAACTCGAAGACCAGCGTCCCCTGGCAAGAGGAAGTGGCTCAGTCGAGGGGCCAGGAGGAGAGGGTCCTGGGCCCTCCCACCCGCCTCCGGGACCAAGAGGAGGAGGAGGAACCACAGGGCAGAGGAGGGCCCATGATGGGGAAGAGAACAGGGGTGCCAAAGGGACGGGGGAGCCAAACAGGAAGAGGGGAAGCAAGGTGAGCTCCGAAGCCACAAGGCCTAGAAGAGAAAGGCAGGTCTGGAGAAAGGCAGGTCAGTCAACACATCACATTAGAATCATTTAGCTGTGCAGTTAGTTGGCCACTCAGTGTGTTGAGAAAGTCCACCAAAAAGTGTTAATACAACAACTGGTCAGAAGTGTGACAGGCCACAGCAGGGGCAGCAAAAACCACCCCTGCCCTGCCTCATATTTCTCCCCCCCCCCCCCCTGAGTTAAGGGGGGGGGGGGGCACCAGGGAAAGGGAGCCATTCCCTCCAAGAGGAACACAGCAGCCCCAACTGGGGCTTGTTTGCAGACTCACTGAAGATCAGAGGAGCAGGGGAGCATTTTTGAACAGTAAAAGAAGAATGCTGAAAAGGTAGAGTATGAGAAAGAGCCCTAAGAAGACCCTAGCTGGCCCTGGGAGGGACTGTCTGTGCAAGAATTCAGTGTGGCAAGGAGGGCCAGAGAGAAAGCCACTTGGGGGTAGCAAACTCGGGTCTTATTCCATGAAATCTTCAAAGATTCAGGTAATCCTCAATTATGACCGTAGAACATGGTCTGTGATTAAGACATGTTATTGACTCTGAAACAGTGCAGGATCTCTTCCATCAGTTTCATGTGGATGTTAAAGGGGAAAGCATCAAGCCCTGCAGCCCACACAAGTGAGGGAAACATGGAGTCCACCTCTCTCCCCCTGTTGTGGTTCACTGGCAGCAGGTGCGGACCGCAGAGGTCTCTGAGAGCGAGGACTCGGATGAGGGGCCTGCGTGTGATGCAGGGATGGGGCCAGGACTATCGGAGAGTGGGGAGCTGCCTTCGGAGCTTGTGGAGTCTGGCAGCAGTGACACAGAGGATCCTGGGGAGCCTGTGCCCAGTGCGTGTGTGCACAGGGCTGCTTGAAGGAAAGAGCATCTGAAGCAGCAAGACAACTCGGGAGTAAGGCTGGAAGGTGATGGCCCCTCCCATAAGGGATAAAAGCCAGCCTTTGGGGATGTGTTCTGTGCAGGAAGCAAAGAAGTTATTTAGACTCAGAATTCTCATCAAAGCCCGGTTTGTTTTTGAAACTTCTGTTGGTGGATATTTAATCAGTAATTAGTCATCTGTTTTTGGCAGCCTTTCGCAACCTTGAAAGGGCTTGCTTTTGATATCGGACAATTAGCTTTAACTGACTCTTGGCTGGGAATGCAGAATTCCCAGCACCACATTAAAAAAGTTTTGCTTTTTTACACAGTTTGTGTTTGTTAAATTTGAAGAAGGCATGGGTCAACACCACCTGTCCATGCAGTCTTGGAGCACCACATAGAAAGGAGAAGAACCACCACATTCCTCACTCCCTTGCTCAGTACTGTGACTGATGGTAGTCAAGGACTGAGGGACAAAAAGAATAATTATAAAAAAGAAAGAGGGCACATAATATCAGCAAATGTCCTGAATCTGTAAGGAAAGAGTCAGGAAGGCTAAGGTTAAGAATGAACTAAGACTTGCAACGAATGTCAGGAATAACAGACAGTTTCTTTCAATATATAAGGAACAAGAAACATTTTCAAGGAGAGATTGGACAGCCATTCGTCCAGGATGGTACAGGGTCTCCTGCCTTGGGCAGACAGGGAATTGGACTACGGCCTTTAGAGGTAAGATTTGTATGATATCTACTGCAAGAGGTGGAAAGAAGAAAGAGGAAAGGATTGAACAAAAGCCAGGAAAGGAAAAGAAACTCAAGTTTCTCAAAGAATGGAAATAAAAGCAAGCAGGAGGTCAGGGTAAAAGGGTCTGCTAAACTCTGGGGCCTGGCAGGTTACCAAGACAGGCTTGTACCTCAGACTGAGCAGGGACCATGAACTGAGGAGGCAGGTTGATGTCTGGCACCTTGCAGTCCGTATTGAAGGACACCTGGTAGTGCAGCGGGTTCTCCACCTTGACTGAGGAGGCGGTGCTTTGCCGGACAGCTGTGGTCAACTCGAGGGTGCCTAGTGGGCCACACGGGGTGGCTTTAAATGTGATCAGATAGAATAAGAATTCCTGAGTGGCCTCATTGCGGAAGGTGACCTGAAATGACAGGAGAGTCTTGGGAATGATCTGGCCATGCAAGGCCGGGCAGATTAAAGACAAAAGGCCTCTGGCATTCAGGCTGACCCGCCTGCCTGCCTCTGCTACTGAGAGGCCTTTGAGTGGAAGGCAGGGAGCATCCCTGAAACAATTCCGAGGTCTACTTTCTCTCAGCGGTCCTGCTTGGTCAGGCTACAGGGAAAAAAAAGGTGTAAAAGGCAGGATATTTCTTCTCAGCTGATGCATGTTCATATGAAAAGCAATGACCAAATGTCACCAGAAAATTGTATTTTAAGTTCCCGAATCAAATTGTGCCAAAGGTTCGGGAGGACATGCAAAGAGCTGCTCCTTATACAGAGACGCTCCGGGTCAAGAAAAAGCCTGAGAAGCTGCCGGGGTCCCAGAAACAAGGGAGGCTCTTTACCTTGGCGGTGTACATGCCCTCTTTGTAAGAGAAGAAGGTGAGCTTGTGGTCCTTCTTGGTGGAAGCTGGTACTTCAATATAGTCCAGAGTTTTCAGGGTGGTTGTGACTTCCAGTTTTTCTGGCTTTATCATGTCAAGTATCACCCGGAACCTAGTCAGAAGAGGAAGCCATTCAGTTCCCAGCCTAAGACTGACCGACATCCAGTTTTTCACCCCTGTGCCTTTTCTACTAAATAAAAACAACCACATCTACCCTATCGTAGAATTGCCAGGTTTTCAATTTTCAGATGGATTGATAGATCCAGTTCTCTAATTTATTTCCGCCCCTGCCCCCCAAACCTTCCACTAAAAATGGTGCTCAAGGTAATTAACAAGAAAGAAAAAGCAGAATTATTGTGATGCAGATAGTTAAAAAAATTAGAAACCTAGTTAAGAAAATATTACATCTCAATTGCCACATTAGGCTCAGAATGTAATCCTGGACAGGAATGACAGGAGAAGCAGAATTTTCTCGCTGTGCACAAGTTGACTCAACTGCCTTTGAACTACCCAAGAACAGGCAGCACTTGTTTAGCAACCACTCTCTTGGTGCCCTTTCATAGACAGGTTGGCACTGAATGAACTGACTGGCCCTCACAGTACCAGCTGTGCCAATACCTCTGCAATCATGTGATTGTGAACTGGGCACTTGGCCACTAGCTTGCACTTAATAATAATTGCAGTGTCCTGTAGTCACACAATCACCATTTGCAACATTCGCTGCCACCTTCCAACAAGCAAAATCAATGGAGAAAGCCAGCAGGAGATCACAAAAGGTGATCCTGTTGGTGTGATCACGTGGTGATGCTGCACTTCCCCAAGTGCATTGCTTAATGAAGGAATTCCTGGTCCCAATTACTGCCATTAACCAAGGACTACATGTATCTTGGATTATGGCTCAGATTGTCACCCTTATTGGATCTATTATCCAGTTATTTGTAATTGGCCTGAATTTCAAAATATATTTCAGAAAATCTCCCAGCAATTTCATGTAGAGTGGGAAATTGTGAAATTTAATAAATAGTAATAACAATAACATTCTTATTAAATCCCAAAGGAACATTCTAGCCTCCTCTGCAGCAGGAATGGTCTGCTTAACTTGTCGCTGTGGAAGAGGTCTAATTGAAGTTGCCAGTGCAGCGTAGACTGGCCCCTGCTTTCACACAAGAGACAAAACATCCTAGTGATGCCTTATAGAATTTGAAAGGAGGGGTGGAGTTGTTGTAACTTTCCTTCCAAATAAATGTTAGCAAGGAGAGACTCTTTGAATTAACTGCTTACAGTCCGGCTGGCCAAACAATTACGCTCCCCATGAACGGGTCTCCAAGTTCTGACCCAGCCAGGCAGTCAATACCATTGACACTCATGAAAGCTTTTTCTATCCTAACAGTGCTTCACTAGCAATATATTTTCTCTTCAAAGGGGCACAGAAGCCCCCAAGGACAGGCAAGATGAGACAAGCTAACTTTAGAGCTCTTGGGGTTTTATTTTATTTGTATCCCACCTTCATTATTTTTACAAATAAGGCAACAAACACCTCTCTCCTGTTGCTTTGGTAGATCCCAGGATCAATGGCTGGAGAAAACAAATGGGGGCCTCAAACAACCAAAGGAAAATTGGGGGTGCAAACTAACCCCACTGAAACCTGTGGGCTCCTGTGTGATTGCAGCCTCCTCCTCCCCCCTTTCTCTCAGGTCTTCCTCTGCTGCCTGGGGTGAAATTGCCAGCCCTGCCCAGCCCTTTTTCCACATTTGCCTTTGCAGCTTGTTCAACCAGTTGGTGATGGGAAGCAGTTCCGTGTAGGATGTTTTGCACGGAATTTCCCTCATGATGTTCCCAGCTGACTTGGGAGGCTCAGCAGTGCCTTGCAGGAGGTAAAGCAGCCCTGTTCCATCTGGGAGGGGGAAGAAGACGGAGCCCTGGAGAAAAGAGGAGAGTTTCAGGCAACATCTCTTCACTGGTCCAAGCCATCCCCAACAGAGATGGTCACGTCTCCCCTGATTGAGGCTACTCAGGAGAGTTTTAAGAGAACGAACTTTCTTAACCTGCAAGACTTCTCAAGAGTCCAACTAGCTTCTCCCCCTGTCATGGGCAGCTATGATTGCTGCTTCTCCAAACAGTTGACTCAAATAAGCTTCTCCAGCACAAGTATCACCATACTTGTGATGCTGTCTGACCTAGGGCCAGGCAGCAGAAAACTTTGGGCGATCCTGCTCATAAGCAGCTATCCAAATCCACTGCTTTAAACTATCAGGTAAGTAAGGCTAAATCAGAGCACTGGGACCTCCAAAGAATAGCTAGTCTTAACTGGACAAGACACTGCAGACTTCCGCTTTGGAGAGTTTGAGAGATACCACAAGAAGGGCCAGGAACCCCTTCTCTCCCAAGGACTGTTGGGCCTACCCATGGAAGTTCTCTGCTCTGGATTCAGCTTCTTTACCTTTGCTACATCTGGCCTTTTTGGCATGTTAATTCTCAGCTCATTGTGGTTCACCCTGTACTTGAAAAAGGCATGAACTTTCCATCCAAGTTACCTTGACAAGCTCTGAAGAACCACAACAAAAATAAAGAGGCCTAAAATAAAGAATGCTGCTGATGAGCAAGAAGCATCTGTAGCAGCAACAACCACAGGACTACTTTCTCCTGAAGCCAAGAATTTGCTTGGATGGGGTTCATGCACAAAAGGAACAGGGTTGGTCAGGCTTCAAGCCTTTATGGGCAGTGTGGTTCTAATAAAATGGCAACTGAATGTACAAAGAAATGCAAGGATCCCTCTTGACATACAACAACCCTCATCCAGCCCAGCTTCTGAGGCCCCCAGCCCCCCATCTTTCCCCTCCTTTTGCTGTTTGTTTCTGGGATACCTGGTCCTTCTTGTTTTCTACGTTCATAGCCAGAGGCCTGTATGTGATTTCATAGGGCTTGTTCTGCTGGTGGGCTTCCACTCTGACGTACTCTGGCCCTTTCCACTGTTCTCCCTCAATAATGGGCCGCAACATCCACGGTTGGTTAGTTTTGTTGGATAGCATGATGGTCTGTGTCTGCTTTCCACGCACCTGGCATATGAAATTCACCACCTGTAAGAAATAATGGAAGAGCCATGTTTATGGTAGTCAGAAATAAGTCTGTAACATCTTTTTAGGTCACTTTTACTAAATGACAAGCACTAAAAATATTTCTGAATTTTATTTACATGGAAGAATCTCTGCTTTTCATTAATTCCACTATTGGACTTAACATGCATGGGTGGTTTGCTAAGAAGTGCAGACCTTTCTTTCTTTCCCTGAAAACCTCACCAGACAAATCATTGGTCCAAAATAAGATGGAGAGGACCTCCCCTTTGAAAATATCAAGAAAAAAGGAGCCAGAGTGATCCAGAGAGACCACCGCCCTTCCCATCTCTGCACTAGATCCTTATATGGATTAAAAGAAGTCTTCCTCTCCCCTTCAAAAACGATGCTGTTTTATTACTTGAAATGTCTGAGCACCTTCATCTAGATAAGGCATTTCTTTGTCTACTTATCAGATTTGTGAGCTGCCATTATCTTCAGTGCTTCTGGCAGTTGACCAATTTTATGCTCATGCATTTCATCTAATGTATGACCTTTCGGAAAAGTGACATGTAGATTCAAAATGGGAGCACTTCTGCCAAAATGGATACAACACTGATGGCATGTTAGGGGCAGACTCACACAATGGCTGCCATCAAAGAGAAAAACTGACATGCAAGAGGGGTAAGTGGGGTGGAGATTGCCTTGAAAACAAAGTCAGCAACTCTCGAATAAAATTCACATTGACTCAGCTAAACAAGAGGGGAAAACCTCAAGATTGCCACACCTTGGTTCTCTTTGCTATAAGAGGGGATAGAGAGAGTTTCTGTCAGGTTTTCAAAATTCTTATACTTTGCAACAATAAAAGAGTTTATGCAGTATTAGTTTCTGAGTAGGCCTTCAAAAGGCTTCCAACCCCACCCTGTTTCTTGTAGGTATCTCAACTGCTTAGCTCAGCTTGAGACCCGTTTCCCGCCCTATGATGTCAGTTCTATGATCTAAGCAGGCCTGTGGCATCGGGGGGGGGGGGGGGGGGGGGGGG